AATTCAAAACAAGAAAAAAAAAAAAACATAGAAACACCACTCACTTGGTGTCACGGCTATTGCGGATATCAACGGCCCGTATATACCTCTGATGGGTATAGCCGTTGTTCCCTGTCCAGTCCAGTACAAATGGATCTCTAAAGTACTCCCATTTACATCAACATCAAATTCCCGATATATCCCTCTCCTAACACCATTAGCTGCCCGAGCGATATCGAAGTCCGGCAAAACTACACGACCCTGCTCAATAAAAACCCGCGTACATTCATAAATGTAAATATTGCAATAAATTGCTCTGCCTAACTATAAAAAATTTATATTCAGAAAAAAAAAATAAAAAAATAACTTTCTTGAGAACTCTTACTTGAATAGCGACATCGAATACTCTCCTCCCGAGATTGCTATAAGTCGCGTTATCAAAATACATTATTTCGGCAAAATAGAGACGAACTCTATAGCTACCCTGTCGCAAGCAAAGCCCGTAATATTTTATCGACGATGGGGCAAGACGGGCCGTTTGGTAAAGATCAGTATTTGCATCTATCATTAACGAGTCATTTCCAACTCTGTACGGTGCATTCTCTTCCCCCATATATGTGCCCGTGCTGCTATAAGCCCACCTGTCGTTCCATTCGAAATGTGATGGGCCAAGATTGCTAAGGTTCTCGTCATACTCGTTATCCTCGAATCTTGTTCTTCCTCCACCGCAATTTACGAAGAACGAGTGGCCTGCGAGTGGGGCTTTACATGATTAGGCCGTTTTTTGTCGAAAAAATGCAATGTGAAGGAAAAAGAGAAAAATGGGAGTTATTTTAATGTGAGAATGCGATCTTACGGTTGGCTCTAGTGGGACAAGGGAGGTCACGCCTCAGGCACCATTCGATTCTGTCGAGTATGAACGTGTTAGAACTTTTTTGCATGGTGAAGTGAACGAATGCAATAAAATCCCTTTAGAAGCTCGTGTTGTCTTCATGATGTAATTCGTAATGTAGTAATTTAGATTTATCTCAAAGTGTGTGTTCTGTAATAACTAATAACCTCACTTACTGATTTACAAAATGAAAAATAAAACTCAACAGGGATTTGGAAGAAAGAACTCACGAGTTGTCTACCGAATTTGAATGNAAAAAAAAAAAAAAAAAAAAAAGTAATCGGGTAAATTTACCGTCAAGAAGATTTTTTTCCGATGAATTACATGCAAAAACTTACATGGTTGAGAACTGGCAACCAACCGGACGGGAATGAGTGAAGTTGTTGTAAGATAAATCACTGCAATGAGTAGGTATGGATATAAAGATGATAAATATAATAGTATAAACTTTAAATTAATGGTAGTTTTGTTAGTCGGAGTAAAATTCTTACAAATTATGGCTACTGCTCAAGATCCAACCTGGAACTTCCCCAGTTATTGAGTTGTGAGATAAAAACCTGCAAGCAAAACATAAAGTTACAACTCATAATAAAACAAAAATTATAAAGAATAAAATAAAAAGGATATAAATGAGAGAAACTAAGGAAAACTAGTGCAGGCTTATGCAAAGGGTGATACGTACATAAAACGCAGTCTCGGCAGATTTTGCAATGTGACTGGGATTGTTCCATCCAACATGTTGAAACTGAGGTCCCTACAATTAAATGATTCAAAGATAAAACATAAATAGATGTCCTATAAAAATATAAATACATAATGAAATAATAAAATGTAGAATAGTAAAATAAAAAATATCAAGAACTACGTCTATTATCAGTCCATTCTACGCTATTTGCAATACCACAGACTTTCAAGATAGATCGAACTTAGAGAAAAGATAAAGAGAGAAAAAGAAACACTTACAGAGTACTAAGGTTAACCATGCTTCCCAAGTATGGTGGAATTGAACCGACAATCGAGCAGTTTTTTAACATCCTGCAACACATCACAACTGAAACATCACAATGGTGCAAACTTAACCGAAGATTAGTAATTTTTTTTTTTATATATATATATATATATAGAGCTTGCTAAATGACAAACAAGGTACTCACAAGCGCTCCAAGGATGCCATTTCCTGCAAATTCGGAAAACTCATGCTTCGTCCTCTAAGATCGGAGATCCTCCTGTTAACCATAAAAGTGTTCACTGAAAACATTATCCTAGAATTCCAACTGTATAAACAGACACAAAATATAAACCGTTTTCTTAAGCTAACCACAAGAAATACACTTGATTTCTAGGTCTAATTACAGAAAAGCCCATTCATCTTCCAAAACTACAAAAAGCCCCTACATATCTATCTCCAATATACAAACTGCACCCTGAATAGAAGGATATTTGTGGGCGTTCGTAGTTTTAGAAGATGAAAATGGAATCTCTTTTAGAAGAACAGAACGTTTGAGCTTACAATTCTAGCAAGAATCTCAATTCGGATATTCTGGCGGGAATCGGTCCCTCCATTGAGGTGCCTTGCAGGTCTCTGCAAACAAGTTTTGTCAGAATAATAATAAAACGTTTGATTAATATGCTGCATTTTCAAGAAAATTCAAGTGAAGAAAGATTTGAAATGGCCTCTTTAAATCAATCTCACAATCTAGTAAGTCTGGTCCAGTTTCCAATAAATTCAGGTATTCTCCCAGATAGCGTACTCCCATCAATACGACTGCAAAGAACAAAAATATTTGTATATCAAGATATTGCATCAATCAATGTCACGTTACAAAATGGATTTGGATCATTTACTGAAAGAGTAACTTACAAATCTGTCAAGTTCCTTAAATTGACGAATGTTGATGGTATCGTTCCATTAAAATGATTGGCTGAAAGCAGGCTGCAGGGGAAAATTCGGAGGTCATGTTACTTGGGAATAAAAAATAATGCTAGTCTAATTTAAGTGATAGCTTTTTTGGTTTGTTATTCTCACCACCCGTTACTGTGAAATACCAAAAAAAGCAGCATAAACAAGTAAAACCCAAGTATTTTTTTCCTGTTCATGAACTGGAAAAGAAACTGATGCATATCTTGAAAACTTTGTTACCAGCATGCACGAAAGATAACAAATCCTCCATAAATAGTCATTGGTAAAAAGGAAAAAAGGAAGAAAAAAAACAAGAAAAGGCGAGATTGGATCAGCAGGCTTACAGCCTATTCAAATTGCGCAAATTTCCGAGGCTTGCCGGTAGATTTCCTTCGAGCAGATTATCTTCCAAAACCCTAGTGTTCATAAAAGCAGCACACCACAGTCAGGCACAATCCTACATTTTTCGTTACATGTTTATAAATTTATGATCACTTACAGCGATTCCAAAGTGGCAATGTTACCAATTTCGGCCGGGATTGGGCCACTTAAACGATTTCCAAGAAGTGAGCTGTTGAATGAAACAAAAGGTAAGTTTACCGAATAGCTTTACGAATTGTAAATAATTAGATTACTTACAGAGAGGTAAGACGAAGCTGGCCAAATATAGCAGGAATTGATCCATTAATGTAATTCCGGGTGAGATCTCTGAGAATGAAAAAGAAGTAGAGTTAATCATCATTCTTTAAAGTAGCGTCGAATCCCAGCTAACCAAGCCATTGTAACACATATTTTGTAACTATTTCTCATCATCAGCGAAATTACCTTTTCTTAAAAGAAAAATTACTAAGACAAAAATCCATAGATTTTTCTTTGAGTGACAATTCACCAAAAGAACTTACATAGGACATGGGAAGGAATACAATTGTAACTTACATCTCAACCAGATGAGTAAGGTTTACAAACGCCTCAGGCAACGGTCCAGTCAAATTGAATCCCCTCAATTGGCTGCAAATGAAAAACAGAGAAGTTAGGATCAAGAATTTGAAAAACAAAAGTTGCAAACTTTAAGCTTGACACTATTATCCACTTATCCAAGATAATAAAATCACTTTTGACCTAAAAGTTGCCATAAATCAGGACCATTATAGATAATTGAACTTTTCTTATAAAGAGAATAAGAGCATACATACATACATGTTTGTTACATGGCAAACAGAGCCGTTATTAAAGCTACAGTCACAAACCACAATGCTCTCTACAACTCTGCGCCAATAGGTTGTGTTAAAAGCAGTAGGTTCATTGCAGGAATTTCGACTAAGATTCCAGTGAGTGTTGTTCAGCCTCGACGATATAGTTTGAAGAATTTGAACTGTAAGAAAAAAAAAATGCATGCATTATAAAGAAAAATATTGAGCTCAATTCATAAATATGAAACTAGGTACAGCCAACTATATATCAAAGGACAGACAAGTCATTCAGAAGTGCATGATGTTATTCTGTAATTCATAGAAGACAGTTGAATTTCTGATAATTCCAATCAATTAAAATTTAAATATTAATTTGTCTATAGGTTAGATAAGTCGCACGTGCTAACAATTGAATAATGGTTATTCAGATTTGGTTTTTTGCCCTTTGACAAGTCAAAAATCTCATAGTGAAATCTACAGTAAATCCTTGCGTTCATACTTGTTAAGAACACCAAAATTAATGAAAGAAAACACCACTTTAGAGAAAAAATGAATCTTTTCATGACAAAATTAACACAATCAACTACAAATTTCTGTTTCCACTTCATGGTGCTAGTGCGCAAATAATCCAAA